CGCCCTTCTTTAGCTCAGCAATACTTTCCCACGCTTGGAAGGTAGCAATACTGTAAGGTGGCAGCAGCACTGCCAGTGTACCGGCAACAATAAATCATCAATCATCATCATTCTAAATTATCATTATTTTTCTCCAAAGGAGTGACAAATCGAATAACAGCCTGAGATCGAGCCGCGGCCAGGGTGCCGATTGGTTGGGCCTTCGCCCGAACCACCACCGACAAATCCGACAGCAGGCGAGCAGGCCCCCCAGAACCCCGGACAACCATCTCAAGCACAAAACAACACTCATCGCAATTTGCACATTCATATGAATGAATATCATTCGCTTTTCTAAATGACCTTACAACCCCAGACAACCCCACCCTAAGTACCTCGAGGCGCCTCCCTGTAAGCGCGCGCTAACTCGCTTTTACACTCCCTTGGTTCTCGCGCAGGTGTTGTATCTCGGCCTGTGCCTTGGCAAGCTCAGCTTGTACATCCCGCAATGACTCTGTCAGCTCCTGAAGCTTGGCGTCCTTTGCCTCGAGGAGCTCCTGCATGCTGCTCCGCAGGTCCGCGAGCTCAGCTCGGTGTTGCTCCGCCTGTCGCTCGAGCTCAGGCTCCGCCTTGAGGCCATGCCCCGCACCCGTCTTCGTGAGCAGCTTGCGCTCATCTACCATATTCTGTTGGATTCGCAGTGGCGCGGATGAGAAGCCGATGATCTTGCAGATGATGCGGTGCGCTGACTCGACGGTGTTGTCATGTTGCATCATGTGTGCACCCTTCTCGAATGCGAGCTTGAAAAAGAGGTTGCTGTTCGTCATCTCGCGCTCGCGTGCGGCGCCAATGCTAGGCTTGATGTCGCCCCACATGTTTGTGATAATGACGACGCTCTTCAGAGTTTCGTCGCCGCAGAGCTTGCGGAAAAGCCGAAGATTCTTGCGCCCGATGCCACCCATGCGGGTGTCCGTGATGCGCGTCAGGTAAATGACGCCATTGAGGGTGCGTCCTTGCTTGTATCTACAATGACATGTCAGACGCAAATCACAAGCACACGGGCGGCAGAGCGTACGTCACGGCCAGGAAGTCAGCGATGAGCCAGAGGATCTCAGCCTCGGTCTTGACGGTGTCATTGAACCCCGGGGTATCGACGAGGGTGACCATCTTGCCATCAAGCATGAAAGGTAAAGCAACCTCGACTTCTGAGGTGCACGATTCCAGGCCATGGCCAACCTTCAATTTGGAGTCGCTAACGAGATTGATGAACTTTTATGGAAAGGGATCTCAGCAGCCACGGAGATACGTGTTACGGTAACCCTGCATAGCTTACCGTTGACTCTTCTGCGCTGGTTGCACCAATGACACTATCTACGAGTTAACTTGGCAGTTGGTAACAAGGACGCAGGACGTACGCAATGAGGGCGGCATCGTCACTTGTACTATCCAGTTCTTGTACAAGCTCCTCACGCACTTTCCTGAGCTCGGCCTCCCCGTCCGAGCGAACGAGGTGAGTATTGAGCTCTTCTGAAGGTGCTCTTGCATCTTCCGGTGTAACAAATCCGACTATCAACGGGTCATGAATTTTATGGATGATGATAGATGAATTCATGATATTACCGCCATGATCATCTACTGCGATACGTGGGCGCTGGCTTTGAAGCATTGGCATTATACTTCCAGGTGAGCCTTTTTGATTGTAAGATGCGGGTACTGTGACAGATTTAGTGTACACTTACCATTGTTTGAAATCCCCAGCAGAAACAGATCATCGTGAGACGCAATAGCGGAGGTTGTATTTGAGTACTGTCGGAGAAGATGTCGTCCAGCTACTTCTTCCCATTTAAACAAAAGCACCAACATCTAAAATGTAGTCCAGCAGATCTTCCAGTGCGTCGCAAAGCTGAATGCTTGGAAATGAATCTCTGATGATAGTGTTCCCAGTGATTGTTGCTTCATACCTTCTTTGTCGGAGGGTGCATATTCGCTGCAACTAATATGAAAATCTCAGTATCGACCACTTAGAGTTCGCTTGTGTAAACTGATCACCGGATGAACACACATCTTCCGGATCCTCAGAATCACCCATGTCCCTGGGCTCCGCCCCTGCTACAATCTTCATTGGGAGAAAGCGACGGTACTTGGCTTTACAATACATGACAAACAGACACTGGTCCCGCCTATGGCCTGCTGGAGTATCCAGATACTGTCGCTTCGGTCCACTTCACTGGCTGACTGACGCCACTGCCTCCTCTGAGCGCTCAATCCCAAACTCTGCAGATGCGATGCTCCCCTCTGTACCAAACAAGATTGAATGCGACTTGCCGCGGTTTGCGACAGCCGCGACGGCCCACTCTGAGGTCATAAGCCAGCCGATTACCAAGACGATGTCCTCTGGGGAGATCTCGCAGCCTTGGTCTATTGCAAACCTGTGCCACGACGAATGGTGAAGCCTGACATACTCGCGGGTGCGCGGATTTGCTTGTACGTGCGACAAAGTGACGTTGGAGCCAGGCACTAAGATTGCACCTTCTCGTTTTTTGCACTCAAACTTGTATGATATGGAAACGCCCTTACTTCTTACCACATGTTGGAAAAACTTATGCAAAAGACAAGAACAGAAACTCACGCTGTTGCCCCTGCTTCAGCTTTGAACTGGAAGATCGACTTGCTGTAGATCAGCTTTGGAGGCAAGTAGCATTCCTTGGTCTGCAAAAGAGCTCACTTGTTGTACTCGAGTGAGACATAGCCATGCAGAACTCCAAAATCTGCATGTACTGGGTCTTCTGCAGTGAGAGTACAATTGAAGAGCCAGTAAAAGCACCCATCTTCGATGAATCCAACGTCCCCGATGAGGATCTCACCATATTGAGAGGGTTCAGGTTGCCACAGCGGCTTGCCATGTCCGTGGTTCCGCAACTGATCTGCGTATATGAGGGAGGCCTCAGAGTGGAACATACTAAATTGTGAGTGGGTGAGCGGGGCAGGGACAAGGGTGAGGAGAGGAGATTGCTGTGACGTTCACAGCACACTAATGCAGGATACAGAGCCTTACCATTGTCACAAGGTCATGTTGAGGATCCCGATGAGCGCGCTTTTAGCCTATACTAAGGATCTTTCCGAAGCGCTGCTTCTGCCGTGAGACCCCAGTGAAAGGCAAGCTGAGCATATCGAAGGCTGCTCGGCACCTGTACTAGCTGCACGCGTTCGTGATATCCGCCACCGTGTGCGGGCAGCTTGTCATGCATCGCACTGGCTGTATCGCCTCAGATGAAATATATGTCAGATATATCGGTGTTCTGCATGGAGAGAGCAGATATCGAGAGCAAAGTAGTTGCATACGATGAAGGTTCTGGATAGTAGACAGACAATGTGCAATGGCAAAGCTTTCTGTAGCACTCTTTCGGAGCTGGAGACCTTCCACCTTTGTTTCACCAGCAAACTGCTGCCAATATACGTCATCCGGGATCACAGCTCCCAACCTCGTGCTGAACTAATCTTTTAATACTCATTCAAGTCTTGCGAAGCTGCACCCTCGACCGAGGTGTTGTCATTTCAGTTACATTCTCTATAGCCCTCAGCTTGTGCACCAACTACATGAAGGCGAATGGCTCCAGTATCGTTATGCCGCAGGAGCAGGGAGATCATGGCGAGCTCGCCATAACTCTTGTCATTGGTGGTGCTCCTTTGATCGGCCGGCAAGGTACGCCATGTCTCGTGTCCTGCACAACGCCTGGTGTTGAACGTTTGCGGTAATTCCGGGCCTGTTCAGGAGGCTCTCTAGCCTCTCGCTTATTGTTGCAACTGGTCCAAGCATAACCGGGTACCCTTCTAAGAAGTCTCTTGGTGCCACGCCCGCTGCCACAGACTTCAACCTGCCGCCACTGATCGACCTCCCTGCCATAGACAAAACGATGCAAATAAAGTTTGTCACAATTGCATGCGTCTAGCTAGAGATCGTAGGCTGCTACATACAATGTTATCTAGGCGGCAAGCTCATGATTGACCTGGTGCTACAAGAAGCAATGTGGGGAAATAAAAATGCCTAGCATATCTATGAATTGGACACATCTTTTGATATAGCGGCTGTATACATTAAAATATACAGTCGTGTAGCCTAATAGGATATCTGCAGTAAAATTAATCTATGCGCATAATTTCAACATGTGATGTAGGACTTGAATATTGGTATAAGCATGGTATAAAATGAAGCACCTGAGGCTATAAGCAGTGCCTGACGGAAGAAAACACATGGCATGTGGGCTCTACTTGAAATTGTTGAAGATCCACTCTGGTGGAAGCTCAAGATACAGATGAAGTTGCAATTCTGCAGCAGTCAGACGTTCATTGGGATTCCTGGCAACAAATTGATCAGTACCATCCAAAGACCAGTAATGTCTAGCTCACATTGCAAAGCACTTCTTATGGAAGTCGTCGGCAAGCAATGACAAAGTGATATCTTTGAGGACAGGTGGTCCCTGCTTGGTTTGACGTATCTGGAATAGTGTCAGAATTTCAGATACTCACATTCTTTTTTTTTCTCTCCTGAATTTAAAGTGCTATCTACGGAGGATAATGTACACCTGTCTACTAGTGTCTGTGCGCAATAAATATCAGCGTCTATAGTGGCGCAGGAGTCCGAGGCTCCAATAAATAGTAGACAAAATCAAAGACCAAAATGTCTCATTGCTCACTGTCTAATGGTGAGCATGGCCATGCTGCAACTATTTGTGCAGCATACGGAGCCGGGGCTACCTCCTCCCGGTTGGATTCAGACAATAATGTCTGAAAACTGAAGGGGGGAGATCCCGCATAGTCAGAAAATGACAGATCATCCACATGAATGAGTGTTTTAGATTCTTTACTGTCATTGCCACATTGTGTGACTTCCATTTTGAGAGGAACATGAGCTGCAACAAGAACTAACTGTAGCCAGTCCAGTGTGACATCCCGGAACAGCTGGTGTCCTTCAGGATGGTGTTGTCGGTACTTGGCCCATATGTGTTTGATGGGCCATTGTGTTCTGCTGTTTAGCCATTGTAAGAATGGTGTTGGGCACTTGTCTTTGTGAGTAGCCCATTTGTATTAATTGTAGAGCATTGGCCTCTGTAGCACAATTATGTCAAACACAATGTTGACAATGTGGTACTTTCAATCTGAGGTATTGGCATCTCACAGTGGAAACACATCTGTTTGCATGTGTTCCATCAAGTCCTGCCACCCAAAGGTTCCAACAAGTGGATTGAACAACAGGAGTTTGTGTATGTTATCAATTGTGACTACCTGCTCCTTGTTTTGGAGCTCAAGCTGTTTTCCTGCTGAAATCAGCTCTAGTCGAGTTTGATCAGGCGCACATTTAGGTGGTTTGATATTGCTTTTTCTTATCCAGTATGGGCATTCATACAAGATATGATCTCTTGTCTCATAGGCATTTGTGCATAAACACGTTCGACTGCCTTCAAGATTCATTTTATTATGGAATTCTCCATGAGAAAAATACCCAGTTATAAATCTGGTCATATGCACGTATAAGCGGTGGTCATGCCCAAATTTCTGAAGAAAGTAATGTTTGCTATCAGGAATGATAAGCTTGTGTTCTGTTTGTTTTAGCAAAGTGGAATGACCACGGTATTTGATACTGTTCATCATTATCTGCCAGCTTTTACGAGCTTTAACCTTAGTAGCTGCTTGTGCTGCAGCATATGATGATCCATTTTGGGTTGGCTAGTCCTATTGCAGGCAGCCTCACTAGCAAGTTTGTCCACTGTCTCATTAAAGCGAGTAGACCAGCTGTCCATCTGGGTCTTTTCCGAACATGACAGGGGACCCATGCAATACACACTTTGTGTTAACTATGTGCACTGAGGAATTTTTTCAGGGCAATAAAAGCTCTGATAGAATGAATTTGGGCACCTTTGCAATCTCCTTTGAAGATTGAGAGTCCAGCAGCAACACTGTCCACAAACACATTGAGTGTAAAGTGGTAATCATCTTGTTTAAGTGCCTGTTGACCATCATATGATTGTGACCACACTTCATATTCCTTTACCAGCCCTTTAATTCATATGGATAGGGCA